TGAAGTGCAAGTGTCTCGAAGTGGTGATATGTCCAGTAAGTCTGTACCTCAAATCCAGAGAGGTCCTCAGCAGCAAACAGGATTCAGAATGGGTACAGGGCCTACAGGGGATGTGCGTTCACGTGGGACATATTCAGGTCCGCATCCTGTTGCTCAAGGCGTGCACATTGGAGGAGGACTGACAAGAGAACAAGAGGGATGTCACCAGAGCTTTATGCAAAGTCTTTTGGCACCTCATATTCCTGAACAAAATGTGCACCAAAGGGCAGCCCAGGGCTGTACCCCAGGGAGTATAGAATACAACTGTGTTCCCGGGACCTCTGCTGGAGAACTTCAGGCTAAATCTTCTAGTCCTAATTTGCACCCTGCACAGAAAGCTGCTCCCATACGTCTAGGGGACAACAACAAAGGCCATATTTCTCAGGTCAGTGCAAATTTGCATGGTCCACCTGTGAGAACAGGTCCACCCCATCCCTCAACACCACACAGCAGTTCAGACACAGGACGCACTCAAGGCTCAACCAGGTCTCTCTCTGTTAGTCAACGACCCCATCATATTGGACCAGATCCACAAAGCACAAAGATTCGTCCAGGAGATCGACCCCGGTCAGGCAACTTGAGACCTGGAAATCCCTTTGAACCAGAAAGCTCTTTGCCTCTTCCATCAGGTGGAGGAGTGATCCTTGGCCGTACACAAACAGGAAGTGAAGCTAGACGAAGTAGCATTGTGCGCTTCATGGCAGATAGTGCACAGGTCAGCAGTGACAACAGTTTGATGTCTGATCGCTGTGCTGTGTCTGATCTCACCCAGAACTTTGGCTTTCCTTTCATTGCTGAAGGAGGAATGAACCCACCACCTCCCATTAATGCCAATGCATCATTCATCCCACCGGTCACACAGTCCAGTGCCTCTCGTACCCCAGCCCTCCTTCCTGTGGAACCTCAGAACAGTCTACCTTCATTTTACCCCTCATATTCCCCTGCAGCTCATCCTAGCCTTCCAAGTGATATTCCTTTACAGTATTTCCCTAACCAGATGTTTACAAGTCCAAGCACTGACAAGAGCGGCAGTGCACCCCTGAACAATCGCTTTGGTTCTATTCTTTCTCCCCCTCGACCTGTGGGTTTTGCACAGGCCAGCTTCCCGCTTCTCACAGATATGCCAATGCCAATTACAAACACTTCAGGCATCACACCTCATTTATCCAACTTCAACCTGACCTCTTTGTTCCCTGAAATTGCCACAGCAATGCCTCCGGATGGCTCCTCTATGCCAATGTCACCTTTATTGTCTCTTACCAACACTACTTCCTCAGACTCAAATAAACAATCTAATCGCCCAGCCCACAACATCAGTCATATCCTGGGACATGATGGGACCTCTGCTGTTTAAGATTACAAAAATTATAAACACTTGAGTATTTCTGAGAATTGTATTGCCCTCACCTTGCCGTAGATTTTGTAGTGGATGGCCATGGTGTAAAGGCTTTTAATTCCTCAAAGAAAAATAAAGCGTGGAATGTTCTCAGGTCCCAAGTCAGGATCAGTCTGTGAGGAAAGTAAAATATTGCATTATGTCTGTTAGCCTTTAGTAGGTTTTATTTGCTTGGGGTTTTTTGCTGATAGTTTGGTCTGTCATGGTTCTACATGATGTATAACTTGTCTTTATTTTTCTTAAGAACAGCTCCCATTGTTTAATAGAAAAATTCATAATGTGTCTCTAAGTTTTTACACTGTAGCAACAATAATAAAATGTTACAGCAAAAAAAGTTTATAATTTTGCATTTAATGCTACAGTAGATATATCTGAGCTGTTTTGTAAAGTATCAGTTGTTTATAAATATTTTCCTCAAATTCTTCTCCTGCAGAATATCATTCCAGAAGAATTTTTGCTTATTTATGAAAATGGATGTGTGGTCTGTAGATATTTGTAAAAATGAAAAGCTATTAAAGTTTCTATCTAATCTAAGAAGTTGAAATGTTTTTTTTGTTTTGTTTTTTGGATTTGGAGGTACTTTTTTCTCACAGATGTCTTGTTTTAGCATGGTAAATCCACCAGATGTCAGTGCCTTTCAAAGATTTTGTCTTACCTTTGATTTTAGGCTCAAATAAATATTCCTTTGTGTCACTAGATTTAAACGGCTGCTTTTAAATGCTAAGTTCTGCTCCCAAAACAAAAGTTTTCTGCACAGTTAACAATTTAAATGTGACAAAATTAAAATGTGTCAATTTCTTTAACTACATTCTGTTGCTCCAAAAAGGCACTGGACACTTTATGCATTTAGTTAATATGATGAAATACATTTTTCTAGTTATTCTACTCCTGTGAATTTGAAGGGAGCACGACCTTGAGACCAGCTGATTACCTACATTTTTTATATCTAATGCAATTCAGACATTTTTAAATGTGACTATGTGTCCAAAATGTTTGTGGGGAACACTGTACATTTCCTTTCTAGCTTTTGGACTAGCCTTTGATATTTAGAAAAGAATTTACACTTTATCTCAAGCTATGTTTTAAATTAATAATTTAGTTTACAGACCGTGTTGGTGCCCTAGATAGACAATAGACATGGATTAATATTTGTGTGTGGGTTATGTATGTTGATCTATATATGTTATGATTATTGTTCGTTGCGCCTGACTAAAATATGCAATTTGGCAACACATTACATTAGAATTATAACCATAGGAAAAACATGCATCTATTCTACACCAACCATGCTCAAACAGTATGCCTTCAAATATGCTATTAGACGCACAAACATAAAAGATAAAAACGACAACAGGAAATATGATTTCTTTAGCTTTATTTACAGGCAATAGTGCTCAATCCATGTAACCATGCAGCTACACTTCTAGAATATGTTAGATATTGATCATTTCCTTCATGTTTCATGTTTATAACAGTGGGAAGAAGCTAATACTGATGCAGGAGAACTGCAGGTCTCCAAAAGTAAAAGTACAACTATACAAGCTGACTACATCAAACCAGTTTAGAATATAAAAATTAGCATATTCCAGGTAGGCGTGTTTATTTTAAGAATGTCTCGCATCCAGGCTACTGAAAAAAAAAAAATACCTACAATATGGTCTCTTTATCATAGTCAATATTACTACACACAGGAAGCATATACTTTGCATATATTTGTTAATGTTTTTGTTATGATGAAAATAGATAAATCTTAGTAACATATGTACAAAGCTGTAACACACTGTATCTCCATTCAAAAACCCTTACTTGCAACTGAGGACGCACCTGGAACAAGTTACAATCAAAAAGTTCTAAAACTGTTTATTTGTTGTGTGTATCTGAGTGTTAAAACCTCACAGTAGCATCTACATGCCATAAAGCTATTAAATGTTTGTGGATACAACATACGGTGCATAAAATATGTATGCATTTAAGGAGTCCATATACACATACACTATATTGCCAAAAGTTTTGGGACGTCTGCCTTTACAGGCACATGAACTTTAATGACATCCTATTCTTAATCCGTAGGGTTTTAATATGGAGTTGGCCCATCCTTTGCAGCTATAACAGCTTCAACTCTTCTGGGAAGGTTTTCCTCAAGGTTTAGGTGTGTGTTTATGGGAATTTTTGACCATTCTTCTAGAAGCATATTTGTGAGGTCAGGTACTGACATTGGATGAGAAGGCATGGCTCGCAGTCTCCGGTCTAATTTATCCCAAAGGTGTTCCATCGGGTTGAGGTCAGGACTCTGTGCCAGTCAAGTTCCTCCACACCAAACTCGCTCATCCATGTCTTTAGGAAAAGGAAAGGGCCATCCCCAAACTGTTCCCACAAAGTTGGGAGCATGAAATTGTCCAAAATGTCTTGGTATGCTGAAGCATTAAGAGTTCCTTTCACTGGAACTAAGGGGCCAAGCCCAACCCCTGAAAAACAACCCCACACCATAATCCCCCCTCCACCAAACTTTACACTTGGCACAATGCAGGCAGAAAAGTACCGTTCTCCTGGCAACCGCCAAACCCAGACTCGTCTATCGGATTGCCAGACAGAGAAGTGTGATTCGTCACTCCAGAGAATACGTCTCCACTGCTCTAGAGTCCAGTAGCGGCATGCTTTACACTGCATCCCACGCTTTGCATTGCACTTGGTGATGTAAGGCTTGGATGCAGCTGCTCAGAAACCCATTCCATGAAGCTCTCTACGCAATGTTCTTGAGCTAATCTGAAGGCCACACGAAGTTTGGAGGTCTGTAGCTGTTGACTCTGCAGAAAGTTGGCGACTTCTGCGAACAGTGCGTCTCAACATGAGCTGACCCCGCTCTGTGATTTAACGTGGCCTACCACTTTGTGGCTGAGTTGCTGTTGTTCCCAATTGCTTCCACTTTGTTATAATACCACTAACAGTTGACCGTGGACTACTTGTGGAAGGAAATTTCATGAATGGACTTATTGCACAGGTGGCAACCTATCACGGTACCATGCTTGAATTCACTGAGCTCCTGAGAGCGACCCATTCTTTCACAAATGTTTGTAGAAGCAGTCTGGAGGCCCAGGTGCTTGATTTTATACAACTGTGGCCATGGAAGTGACTGGAACACCTGAATTCAATTATTTGGGGGGGGGTCCCAATACTTTTGGCAATATAGTGTACATAGGCTTACAAATCATTTTAAAGTCAATTGTCCCAAAGCACTGCAAGTTAAAACATTCTTAATGAAAGGATTATTATCATCATGCCCTAAAAGCATTACATTTCCCACCAGCAGTACTTCAAACATCAAGAGATGCTTGCCAGTGGAAAACCTTGAGCTTATTACTGATACTGTATGTATGATGTTGAGGTGTCAGGTTGTTCCTGTGCTCACATGAGGATCAATTATACAGCATACTTATAAAAACATCCTGGTGGTAACAGACAAACATACCAAAATATGCATACTTATAAAAACATCCTGGTGGTAACAGACAAACATACCAAAATATGTATAACATCTGATATAAACAACCAATATATACATTCTTAAAAAAAATGTACTATGTACAAACATAAATATATAAATATAGCATCTGTTATACAAAAATAAATATTTTCTCCCCCCCCCCCCCCCTCTCTTTTTTTTCTACAGTTTCATCCATCTTTTGAATCATCCCTGGTCCCTTGTTCCTCAAGCTGCTTCATGTTCTGTGTTGTTCCCACTTCCTGTTGCTCAGCATATAGGAGCAACTGGTTTATGCCCGCATCAACTGTTGTTAACAGGGGCAAGTCTGTGGGGAGAAATGCATTCAGATTACTCATCTACTAAAGAATATTAGGTGTATTTTCAAATGGTAAATTTGATCATGTTTGACAATTTTCACCCCCTGCATAATTATCAATGATATGCATTTAATTCAATAATTATGTACAACAATTTCTCTAAAAAGAAGAGTGGCGAACGTGTGTTGCTGCAGGGTGCACCGGCCTGGTCCAGATAGTATTAATTCATTCAAATTAATTCATTTTGTCTCATTTTAAAATCGCAGTTATTTTTTACATTGCCTTTGTTGTAACACAAAATAACCAAACGCACCAGCAGTGACCTCCCCTTCCAAATGAACTGCTTCAGTGAGGGAGTGATCGGCCTGTATGGAGTCAGGACTCTGAGATGGAAGTGTAGGTCCCGATAAGCTGAGGATCTGCAAGGGGGAACCATCAGACACATAGCATCCCTCTTCAGGACAACCGGACACCCTAAAAGTAAGAAAAAAAGACTAAGTTCAAATTTAATTTCTGGGTTTCCCTAAAAAACTTAAATGTCACAGTATAACAGTCACCATGAAACAGCATTCGCAACCCATTTTGACTCGATAACGTGACAAACGATCAATATTCAATGATGATTAAAAATGTAGGACAGGACTTGATTTTATCTATGAGGAATTTGTCAGATCAAAAGCACGTATTTTGCTTATTTTGCACATTTGCATACTGCCCGCCAACTTGCTGCTTTCAGTGTTGCCAGATTGGGACGGTGATTTCCAGCCCAAAAGCTCACCAAAACCCGCCCACTACAAGAAAAAACCGCCCAAAATTTTACTGCCAAAATAATGTGATATAATTGTATTGCCATGTCATTTAAGGTTGATAAGCACAATTTGTATCTCCTTAAAACAAAATAACGATGATAAAATAAAATAAAAAATAAATACATTTTCCAGCAAAACAGGGCAATAATTAAGGAGAATTAGCCAATATGACTAAAATGTCCAGGTGGACACTGTCAAAACGGCAATCAAGAAATGAACCGATGACTTTAACCCTCGGAAGTACACATTGCAGAACATAACGCAGAATTTAGCAGTCAAAACGGATTCATCGTTGATTCAAACCTTTTTCAGCAGCTGTCAGGGACAAGTAGAGTGCAGTCTGGATGGTGTAAAGTTGCAGATGTTTGGTTAGGCTAGTGTGCACATGACATGGACAGAATCGTCCCATATTTGATTTCAATTCAAGTCATTCAACTGTGCTCTCCTCTCAGAGTTATATTCACCATAGTGATCTCCTTCCACGTGTGCGTTTTTTAGAGTTGCTCACTACTGTACACTCTTTTGTATAGTAGGCTATGTCACTTTGCCTTAGCGATCACTTGAATATACAGCTAACTTCTCGCGCTCAATCGCGTCTGCCTGCGGATCGCTGATTGGCTAAAAGTGCGTGGTGCTCGTCGGTGATGTCAATACTAACGCCAGCTGACTCTGCATGAGAGTGTGTGTACAGTAATGTCATGATGACTGATTTTATGGACTACATGCACTTTAGTTTCGTTTTTTTAACCAATTAGACTTTAAAATGTAGATGTTTGAAAACCGCCGAAATTATCCCAAACCAGCCCAAATTTTGACCACCCGCCCAAACCCTTTTTTACCCGCACAATCAAATTCAAAACCGCCCAATTGGGCGGGAACCCGCCCAATCTGGCAACACTGGCTGCTTTGGCCCGCCCTCAAAGAACAAGTTGGCTGATTTCGCTTTGTCGCATTATCGGACTCTGATACAACAATACGGACGCCACAGTTACCATAGATATAATACGGGTTACAGCAACTCATGAAGTCTCAGGAGCTACAACTCGATTATGGTAAGTGGTTGACCAATCACAGCAGACTGAGCTTTTCGGAAAGATGGGTTTTAAAGAGATACAATCTAAAACAGAGAATCAGGCAGAGGGTTGAAAGAGGTTCTGTAGCAATGTACAGTATGAGAAAAATTTTCTTTTAACCGGTTCCTAGTTTCACAGAGGGCTTGGATTAAGCCAGGATTAGGCCTTAGTTCAATTAGGACATTTAAGTAGGCTTCTGTGAAATGTATTCAAGCAGACCCCAAGAAATTAGATTATTACCTTTAAAAGAGCACAATATGGGCACTTCAAAGGGGTGATTTCTACAATAGTACAATTCTTACCCGTTACAGTAATTGTGGATATGTGGTTGCTGATTGGGAAGTTTCTGAGGTAACAATGCATCACACTCCAACTCATTGTCAGCATCCTCCTACAAAAGAGACAAGAGATTGAACATCAACGCAATACAATACAGCAGGCCAAGAAGTTTATTACTGTGCTGAACATCACAAAACATTAAAGGTCAAAGTGAAAACTTACCCGGTGTCCAGGAAGGCGCTGTGTAGTGTATTTCCCATTGGGAATGTATTCTCCTTTAGGAGCGTAGACAGTGTGGGCAGATGTCAGGTGGGGGTCTACAGGACAAGGCCGACCTAGAGCCAATCCTTGCAGGGGTACCATGGTGTACTGGCATGGAGATACTGTAGCTGCCAACGCTGGAAAGCGCATGTCTAAAGTTTGTTCTGAAATAACGAGAAATACAAAATTCATCCAGGGTTCCTTGTCTTAACATATCTTTGAATTACTAATGAAGATCTATGACTGTTTTAATGTTTCTAAAACGGCACTCACTTTGTTTGGCCCAGACTCTCCACAGACAGATTGGGATGAAGGCTACGATGATGAAAACGAATGCTCCGAGTACCACACCCACAATGAGGTAAGGCAGATCACCAGGCCGAGGAACAGGGTTTCCTGGATGGTCGGGTCTGGACGATGAGGTCTCTGGAGGTGTGGTCCTCTGGTGAAGGCGAGCTGTAAGTACACACAGAAGTTCACACTTAAGATCTGTGTTGTCAGAAGAGATCTTTGTTCTAGAAAATGGCTGAGGTGCGGTTCGGAATGTGAGTGTGAGGAAAAGGAAACGAACCTTTAGTTTCTAAAATGACGACATTTCCGAACTCGCTCTCGCCCCCTTCGTTGAAACACTGCATCTTAATGTCATAAGCCGTCTCAGGCTGTAGGTCAGTAATGGAGTGCCAGTAGCGGTCACCTAAAAAGAGCGCCAGACCATTACATTTTATATTCCTTTAATATATAGTTGAGAAACTAAAAGATAAAGGAAGGACATGACTAACCTTCCACTATATCCTTTTTGTAGTCACTGTCATTGTCGCTATCGGTGGGTCGGTAGAAGATGTAGAAGCCATAAATGGGGGTGTTATTGACTGGTGTGTACTGCAGAGAGAAAATAAATATTTATTTCAAGGTCTGATAATCGCGTGATAACAAACAGGGCGTATTTCTTGAATTTGACAATGTAAAAATGTTTAGTGAGGAAGTGCTTACCGTCCATTTCAGGATGACTGTGGTCTCATTGATGGCTTCATTGTAGGTGATGTAGGGTCCGTCGATGGGACGTCGGTTTGGTGGACCACTGCCCACCACTGTGTAGGCTTTAGAGGGAGCGCTTGCTGGACTCTCTCCCAACACGTTAACGGCCAAAACTCTGAACTTGTATGATGTTCCTGCGATGCAATGGAAAGAACAAGAAATAAGTCAGTTGACTCTCAAGTTGATCTCAACAAGTTTTTAAGATCATGGGAAACATGAGTTTGGTCTAGTGTGGCAAACTAATTAGGAAAAGCTACTTGTCAATGTTTTTTTTTATGTGCAACTAAAGTTTCGTTAAAAAAATTAGTTATAGTTCACCCAAAAGTGAAAATTCTGTCATTAATTACCCTCATATCGTTTCAAACCCGTAAGACTTTCGTTCATCTTCGAAACACGAATTAAGATATTTTTGGTGAAATCTGAGACATTTCTGTCCCTCCATTGACAGCTACGCAACTACCACTTTAATGCTTCAAAAGTTCATAAAGAGATTGTAAAACTTATCCATATGAATTGAGCAGTTTAGTGCAAATTTTCTCAAGAGACTCAATCACTTGATATGATGAACAGATTGAATTTAGGCTTTTATTCACATTTAAACATTGATCAGCGAACAAGCTCAACTAAACCTGCTTGACGGGCAAGAACAAACCTCATTGGTTCTCGCATGTCATGCAAACATGCTTGAGCTTCCATTTACCACAACTGATGTGTGAGTTGATGAATGTTTATATGTGAATAAAAGCCTAAATTCAATCTGTTCATGATATAAAGTGATCGTGTCTCTTCAGAAAATTTGGATTAAACAGCTCAATTCATATGGATTAGATTTATGATCTCTTAATGAACATTTAGAAGCGCCAAAGTTGTAGTTATGTAACTGCCAACGGAGGGACAGAAAGCTCTTAGATTTCCCTTTTAAAAATTTGATTTTGTTACATTTAACTAACATTAAAAGTTAAACAAAACTTAAAATTCAAAAGAATTGATTGATCAACTTTTTTATTATTACATTAAACTATCTTTTAAAACAAATTAAATAAAAACTTTCAAATATGCAGATTTATTTGACAATTTTAAAGCAATATATTAGTGTGACACTCCTGATTCACCATATTTTTGTCATACCATATTATCAGAATGATAGAACTTATGTGAAGGTGATCTAACCTTTCTCCAGGCCTGTTATCTCGACTGAGAGGCGAGAGGGAGGGATATTGTTTACAGCCACCTCCCACTCTCCACTGCCTTTCTTCAATTTCTTGAACTCCACACGGAATGACTGGATGGGGAATCCACGGTTCCCGCGAGGGATCCACGTCACATAGGCTGAGGTCTCGGTGGCCATGGAAACAGTGGGTCTGTCTGGAGCTTCTGGAGCTGAAAAGACAAAAAAAAGTTTTTCAATAAAATAACAGTAATGTTAGCATAATTAATAATCATAATATTATTAATCAGAACAATTAATGACACACATTTTTAGCTATATTTAATGTTACAGTTCCTCAGTACTTTACTGCAGCCTTAAAGAACTACAGCAAACTCATTATATTATAATCATAGGGGCAAACGTATACTCACGTGTGAGACGAGGTGGCTCATCTGGTGTTTTTGGAGGCCCTACGGGTCCTCCTCTTCGCCCTGCAGACCAAAATTAAAGAGAAACTTTAATTCACCATTTCACTGTTTTTTTCATACTACAGCTCAGATATTTAAAAAAGTGTAATTTGTTACACAACTCTCTGAATAATTGATTCTGATTGGTCAATCATTCTGAGGCGAAATATTTTTGTATAATGACCACTAAATTACCTTTTTATAACAAATTAAATAAACAGTTTTTATATATGCATATTTATTTGTCAATTTTAAAAGTCATTTATTAATTTTACAGTTACATTTGCTCTTTTACATACCACTATCTCTTGATTATCGATCTTGAATGGACAATCATGGCTTTCTGCAGTGAAATATGATTGCTAATGCTACTAAAGCACTACTTTAAACAAATTAAATAAACAGTTTTGAATATTCATATTTATTTGTCAATTTTAATAGTGATTATTTTACTGTCACATTTAACAGCATTTTTAAGCAATAAACAGTTGAAATATGTCTCTTTTTTCAATCTGATTAACTTATTTACATGTTATATATATTTTTTTCTTGGATTGATAATTGCTCTTTTTCATACTAATATCTCTGGAATACTAAATTCTGATTGGTCAATCATGGCATTAGTTGGTCAAATTAATTTCAAACCCATATTTCTTGCTAATTAATTTTGTTATAACTTAAGTAGACAAGTATCATGTGGGATAAAATGGGTCATTATAGAAGAAAAATGCAGAGATGCAGAGCCCTCCTCTAAACATTTGGGTCTTGACCTTGAGTTTATTTAACATTAGAAACACACATTTTCAAATGTTGATGCAGAAAGGTAATCTTAAAGTAGCAGTATGGCTATACATTTGCCTGTTCTAAAAGTCATCATCGCGGGCTGCCCAAGTCCAGCGCAGTTCTTAGCGGCCATCTCCACTTCATAGAGGCTGGCAGGCAGCAGTTTAGTAAGAGTCAGTTTGTGCTGGAAGCCTGAAATGGTGTTAGTGGTCCACTCTCCGGGAGATTCTCCAGCCTGCCAGACAGAAAGATACACACAATGAATCAGAGGAGTGGAATCACATGACAAACATATTGTAGAGTGAAACAAGGCAGATCACACTGTACACATGAACTGGGCAGTGTTGTACCTTTCTGTACTTGACAACATACTCCAGCACAGGTGCTCCTCCATCATGACGGGGTTTCCAGGTAAGTTCATAGTAGTCGGCCTTTCCTGTGCGTGGCTGACTCAGGATGACTGGAGCTTCGGCGGGAGAGACTCGGACCTCAGAGCAGTCGAAAGGCAGCACTGCACTGGTGGCCACAGGCTTCAAAGGTGGCTGTTCCCGCAGCACTTTATCCGGGCTCATCGGTCGAATCATGGGCAGCTTACCTGACCGTGAGGGCACTGAAATAAATAAAAATTAATTAATTAATTAAAAGTGGAAAACACACACAAAAACATGATTTATATATATATATATATAATATATATATAGATAAATGGGTTCTAAATTAATAATAATTATACTGAATAAATAAATAAAATAAAGCTAAATAAAACTGAATAATAATAATTATTATCATTATTGTTATTCCCTTTTATTATTTATGTATGTATAATAAATATTAACTACAACTATTATTATTAATAATAAAAAGACAGTGATATTGACATTTACATTTAAGCATTTAGCAGTTGCTTTCCCTGAGAATCAAATATTATGATTAGTATTTTCATTTTTAACTATATAATAATATACTAAATTTGATCATTTTTAATGAAGTGTTTTATACCTGTTGGGACAGTGAGAAGTCTTGTGGCTGCCTGTGAGCTGCCCACACCATTCTCCGCCATGCACTGGTACATGCCATCGTCCTGCGGCCCGACGTGGAGCACGCGCAGCACCTGTGAGGACATCCGATGGCGTGGTGATGGGCTCAGGGGCTGAGCGTTGTGGAGCCACACCACAGTGGGAGTGGGCTTGCCACTCACCTGACAGCTGAAACGCACCGTGCCGCCCCATGCAATGTCTTGCTGCTGCAGCTCGACACGCACCTGAGGAGGTTCTGAAAAACCAAAGAAGGGAATTTCAGAAAGATTTGTCAAAACATCAAAAAATGTTGAAAAGCATAAACCAACAAGCATTTGGATGGTTTAACAGCACAAAACATGAGTGCTGTTTGTGATGGCATGCTGCTGCAGAGGAGTCTGGGATAGACTGGGTTCTCTCACCCTCTCCAAAAACTTGATGGTTGGATGCTAGTGAATCAGCTCGAGCTCATTAGAGCAACAGCCAGAGCGGCTTAATTAATCACAGCTGCCGTGAGACGAGCCCACAAAAACAACCTCATCAATGTCTCAGAAACTCAATCCTACACACACACACACACACACACACACACTCTCTTTCTGTTCAGTAAATGTACTGTGGGTTCTTTTAGATGCTTATTATCACATTTATTCACTAAGCCCTCTGGTTCTGATACATTGAATTACGCTTATTACATTGAAGCAGGATTAAATGACTGGAAATGGAAATTTCCACACACGTAAAATGTTCCATCACTGCCCTGGTTCCTGCTTTTCAAACCCCACTACACTTGAACAAATAATCAAATAAATAACCTAAGGGCCACTAGCCAGATGGTGTTCTGCCAGTTGAACAGTTACAACAAATACAAATGTTTTTTTAAGAACCATGAATTTGAACAATATACAGTTGTTAGAGCAATTATACAATATTTTAAATGGATAGAAAAAAATAAAAAAAGACTCTTGAAATCCCACTCACCAAACACCTGCACGTCGTACAGCACCCTAGCAGAACTCGCAGAGTCAATGCCGTTATCAGCGTTACACACGTAAGTGCCCGAGTCGCTCTCGCTTGCTGCATCAATCAACAAGTTGCTCAGTAAGAAGCGGGTGTTGTTGAGATTTCGCAAGTCCAGACCGTCCTTAGCCCATGTGACCTGTGGAGTGGGAATACCGCTGGCCACACACTCAAGCACAAGTCGCTGGCCTTTGTTCACCATAATGGACCGAGATGCAGGTGGATAGATGATACGTGCGGCCTCAGATGTTGAACCTAGACAAGATAATACGTGTCAATTTTATGTCAACAAAATTGACAGAATGTGTTCATTTTATGCTTTGTGTTCACTTACGTCGTATTCGGAGACGATCTGTAGAGGTGGAGGTTTTAACTTCCTGGGTGACAGGGTTGTAAGCAGCACATATATAGGGACCCTCATCGTCCTGTGTAGCATTAGCTATTTGAAGGTTTCCTGATGGCATGATCAGGTAATTCCCTAGGACAAAATCAAAGAACCAATGATTAGCATCTTTAGGCCAGGCTAGTATTTTTCAACAGAATCTAATTTAAGAATCTAGAACATTCCTTAAGGTAATTTCCTAAAATCTAAGCTGTGATCTTCACCATCATTAAACTGAATATTTGAACAGCTAGAATAATTGCAAGAAAGACAATCATGCTAACAGGCAGCGCTTTGTTGAGTGGACAAGACCAGACAACACGCAAAGACTTGATGTCTCTCAACAAGACAAGAGCTGCCAAACACTTAAAAACCAGAATCGGCTTGTGTGCATTTAAAAAATTTGAATAAATAATTGAAACAAATCATATTTGAATTAAAATGATGTGGCTTGTAACAGATCCAATGATGATGATAACAGTGTTCTTAAATTTTAGCCATAAATCAGGGGAGACAAAAGCATACTTTCTACATAGTATACTACAGAGTAGTGATCGACCGATATATCGGCCAGCCGATATATCGGGCCGATATTTGCGGTTTTTACGTGTATCGGAATCGGCCGATACGCGGCTGCTGCGTTCGCCGATAGTTTTTTCCGGCATTATTTATAGACAGGCGTCCACAGGCAGCTCTGTGCTGCTGGAGACGCTGCAGTTCACGTGCAGACCCTGCACTGTCCCTCCCCCACTAGCAGAGTGCAATCTGCGCTTCAACTGTTTGACTGCTGAAATATTGTCAAACACTTTGAAAATGGAAACACGTTGCTCTATAACTGTTATGTGGTTGCAACTATATAGCTAAGCAAGTTTGTGGGTCCAAATGGAAAACGCGAATGACTCGTCTATAAAACTGCTTGCTTGCCATTGTATTTAGGGAGCTGCAAATAGCTGTAGGCTATCCGTTCAGTATGCATTAGGGCTGTCAATGAATATTCTAAATACGAATATATATTCGAATAGTTTAAAAAAAACTGAATTTTGAAGGTGAAAATTAATATTCGAATGTGGAAAAACACGCACGCGGTAGCAGACTAACGTTACCACAGCACAGCTCGCTCGGAGCGCTCAGTGTCGGTTCTATGTACTGTGAAACTTCAATTAATGTATTTGTTTCAATCACTGAATGAAGCCTGCTATATACCTTAAATTGCTTGCACAAAACTCTTGATCAGCACTCAACATTTGTTTGTTGTTGTTCATTTAAACCGGTATGCGCGGAGAGCGTGAGGGTGAGTGCGAGAGAGTGCGAGTCCGGGCAAGCCAGAGTGAGCTCTGCGGTCTTGGCCATTAGTTGATTTACTCTTTTTTTTTGTAGTAATACGTTGTCAAATATGTTTAAACTCAAATAAGCTACTTAATACTAGTAGTTATGTCTCTTTGTATTAATTTGTCCTGTTATTGACGTAATGCGCGTCATTGACCAAATGCACGACGATATGTTCAAATATGTTTTTTAGAGGGAATATACAAACGCCATTTGAGCAATTTTGACAGCCCTAGTATGCGTACAGTAGCTGTTACGAACACTGGTCATAGGATTAAGTAATACCAACGTTGTTCCGTGCTTTTTGTGGGAGATTTATTCAGCGACCACCTGGCTGAGGTTTGGACGCGTGTGGTGTGTGTCTCCCTCGCCATCGCAGTGATATTAGAGACTAGACATGCTCATTTTATTTTATGTAGAAAAATTTAAACCATGGCAGTAAATAGTTCGTTACTTTTAAAATGAAGTACAGTGTGCACTGTGCACTTTATTATGCTGGTTGCTACTGTGTGCAATAGTGTAATTATTTTATTTATGCTTAAATATTTATTTTCAGCACTGAACTTTTTTTTGTTCTACCTCATGTTTTTAATATTTGTTAAATATTGTTTATCTACTTGTTCTTGTTCTACCTCACATGTTTTTACTATTTGTTAAATATTGATTTTTTTACGTTAAATAAATGTTACTTTTATTAAATTGAGACCTGTAACATTTGTTAACATCATGTCATTTTTATGATGTAAATTGAGGGAGCAAAATGTATCGGCTCCAAATATCGGCTCAAGAAAATCGGCAGCCCGTATCGGTCATCGGCTAAGGCTGATGGGAAAAAAATCGGTATCGGTATCGGCACTAAAAAATCCATATCGGTCGATCCCTACTACAGAGTTATAATGTCTATGCCAAGCCACTAGCTACCAGAGTACTACTTAGCTCAGTAGTACCTAGGTAGCGAGTTAGAAACATGCACAATTGGAAAACTTAATTGCTCAGCAAGATCAGTAGTTAAAATGAAGGAGAAAACTGACTGCACAAAGACATTAATGGCCATTACATAAAATATTAAGCCATCTTGTACCCTCCTTAGAAGTGGGCTAAAGTGGGCTCACTAGTGGATCACAGGACCCTTGGTTGAGAACCACTGGTATGTTTGTAAAACGCACCTTTAGATGTCTCCAGCCACTCCTGTTTGACACTGTAGCGGACCTGAGCTTTAGGTTGACTCTCAGGCAGATGACACTCGATCACAGCTGTGTTCCCTTCATCCACCTCAAATTCCTGCTGGTCATCTGGCTCAAAATCTCGCAGTTCTGCATGGAAACAAACAAGAGTTATCCTACAAAGTTTCTCAAACATATAGCATATTTAATAAAATAGGAAAAGCAGTGGAAATCTCAAACGTCCAAATGCTGGCTTTGAGCGTTTCAAAGCTGAAAGCCTCTTTGTATTCCATTCAGGAAACTGAGAAGCTTTAGAGTGCATATGCTTAGGACTTTTACTGGGATATCGAATGGGCAGACACCCAATAGCTCTGAAAAACAGAGACAGAAAGTCTAGCTTCCTTAAGCTCAAGTCAGCCCAGGCTAAAATGAGGTCAAAGGCTAAAGGTCACCCATCTCTTGAGTTTCAAGAGAGGAAAAGCAGTCTTGGATTGCAATAAAACAGAATAACTCTGCCTGAGCGAGTCTGTGTGTCATTCTGTGAAGGGAATATTTTCCAAAGGCAGACAGGGAAAATTGCTCAGCGCTGTCCTGAAAAACCCCGAACTTAATCAAATATCTCCCCAACTGTTCATTACTCCTCACACAAATCAAATTGTTTCATTGTTCTCCAGAGTTTAGTTATATTCCTTGGCGTCTGAAATGTCTCTAAGTTATTTACAACAGAGCCAAAAGATCCGTGAGGTAAAGATTAAAAAAAACTCTTTGTTGAGTATTCCTGGAAGCAAAGACATTCAATGATGGATGAGAAGAGCACTTTAATAATCAACATCTGATAAACTCTCTAACACCAGCTGCATCTGTAATCTCAAAGTCATAATCGTCTGGTTTTTTGAAGTGAAATGGTTTTTGAAATAATTTTTTTGGGAGATGAGAATTCCAGGATCCATTTGCTAAATCAATCAGGGTCTTTTTACAGCCCACCCCTGCCAGCATCCCGCACCACCCCAAACCTCTCCTAAATTCCTCAGTGCACAGCTTTAACCCCTCCTCTGACTGACTCCCCCATTTACCTCCTCCTCAAAACATTCCTCCTCCCTTCAGGTGTGTGAGGGGGGAAAGAGGAGAGGAAAAAAAGAGGGAGAAAACATTTAATTAACATCTTTAAATTTAATGTAATAAAAACTAAATAAGCCATTTACACTTTGGGGTCAGTAAGCTTTTTAATACTTTTATTCAGCAAGGATGCATTAAAATGATCAAAAGTGACTGTAAAGACATTTACAATGTTACAAAAAAAATGATATATGTTATCATAGAACATCAGAAGACTTGGAATATAGCACATGAGTCAAATGGACTACTTTTATGCTGTTTTATAGAGAACGAATTAAATAAATTGAAAAAAACAGTGACAGACTATAAGTAAAATCTGTGAAACCCACATTTATATGTTTCTAATATGTTTGTATTTTTATGTGAGAAGGTAAAGGGTGAATATGTGATTGCGGTACATCATATGTCTCCTGGAGGCATGGAGAGCAGGGAATGCTGGGAGCTGTGCAGAATTAATAGTATTTATAAAATAGATCAGACGAGTTTTCAACTCCAATGCTTTCATACATGCTGCACGGTTACTTGGCATTCATCATTTTTATGGCTGGGGCCGCAGAGCCTGTGCGTATGAGCGCTCATGTATTGTTTATATGACATTTAAAACTCATAGTGCGATGATACAGTAACTATTGTGTGGAATATCACTGGCCAGACTACGCGTAGCCCTAAAAGATGATAAAAAAAAAACCCAGGTTAGGCCAAGAGTTTATTGAGAATTTGTTACTCCATGTATTAAAAACATATGTGAGGAGGTGTGCTTTTTGTGTGAGCGAGAGAAAGAGAAAAAAAGGGAGAGAGAGAGAGTGCCGAAGGAATGTTTCTTGGCTCGAAGGACACGGGAGGCTCGCTTGTCTTTGGAGGAATTCAAGAGGAGAGATTGAAATAATGCTCAGGCAGGCAACGGCCTCCCCGGTGGGAGACGCTTCAAGACAGGGTTCCTACAGAGACAGATACCAGGGAGAGCCAAGCTCTTTCACAGAGCAAAAACAAATGGGCAGACCTTTGAAATATGGAGACATGAGACAACTTCAGGCTCGCGATCACACGCAGCGCCCTCCCAGAAGAACTGTCCAACCCCTGGCAGACTAAGGGAGGAGGTCTTTATTAAATTAGAGTGAGGGGCCAACGTGGGATCATAAGAGACGAGGGGCCCCAGCTAAGAGCTTGCATCTGCAAGCCCCTAGCTCTCGACTCCCAATTCATAGACCTTATCAATTACATCTCACACATGTACGAGAGTCAAAGTAAAACAAGGCTGAAAGTTAGAAAAAACAAATGAGCAGTGAGAGGACTGAAATCCAATGCACCATTAAATGCCATGAGTAGAAACGCAGATAGTTTGAGAGAGCGAAGTCAGGGGGGTGAATGATGTAAAGCATGCCTGCTTTGTGAGGTGAAAATGGTGTCAAGAATCTCATGTCGCGTCTCATCTTGACAGAATATCCTGCCTCGACTAGTCTGCCAAACCTGCGCTCCTCATACTATCACACAAACAAGCATGCATCCGCACACAGTTCTTTAGAATCTCGTGTGTGGCACGTTCACAAACTGAAAATAATTGAGTTTCTTTGTACAGGCAATAAGATGTTCATACTTCCATTTAGGTTCAAGACGTTCTTTGGGTCGTTCTTAAATCATGCTGGAGAACATGATCATCAGTCGTTCAATTTACTGCATCCTTGCTGAAAAGTATTTTGAATGGTAGTATATGCATGCACAAACTCACATTCACCTCATTATACGAACAAAAATTTGCTCAATGTTGTTTTTTCTGTCTTTCTTTTTCCATTCTGTCTCTGTGTAAGAAGACATAAGCAGTGGAGAACAGGGAGGAGAACCTTCGCTAATGGGGCCCGTGGTTTCACCCGTACACACACTCACAGGCATTATGGTGGGTCACATTACACACCCCTTCCCGTGCTCCAACACTGACTTAGGACAAACACACACACACACACACCAGCAGTAGAACTTGGCCTGGAACACAACCGCACACTGTAAAGCCCTTTGAATTCAGCACAGAAAATTTTCAAAGTTCATACCAAGTGACTGGCACTTGCAAAAGTGTGTGTACTCACTAGCTGCAGTAACGTTGGCTGGCACACTAGCGCAGGACCCGACGCTGGTGGTGGCCACACACTGGTATCTGCCTATGGTGAGGTTTGTAAGGGAGGGGATGTAGAGAGAACCGGGCCACACCAGCACTCCCAGCTCCTCGTTGCCCCCAGCTGGCAGCTCTCGACCGTTTAGACGCCAGCTGATGTTGGCATGGTTAGGCAGAGCGCTGCATCGCAGGGTCACGCTGCCCCCCAGTTTCTGTACCACAGAAAAAGGCTCCTCTGTAAAGACTGGGACATCATCTAGAAGAGAAAGTGGAACACAAGTATGGTGAATAAATATTTACATTTTACACTGCTAAATGATGAAATGTAGATGCTTTTATCCAAAGCAACTTATAAAAGAGGAGAAAAATAGAAACAATCAAAACAACAGTAGGGCAACAATATGTAAATGCTGTAACGTCCCAATTAGTCTAGCACAGTACACGTAGAACCACAAGGTGCCTGCGTTCACTTAAGTCTGAAGTAGCGAGTTTGTGCAGAGCTAGTGGTTGTTCTGTAGGCAAACATCAGTGCCTACAGAACAAATATATATATCAGTTATTAAAAAAAAAGACTATAATAGGTGCTGGATCTGAGTCCAGCTTGTTCCGGCTCAAATGAAGCTTTATGAAGTTTTAGTGGAGCAGAACCGAGGTGTCAGAAACCCACCTCTAACAGCAGCACTATCCTGCAGGCAGCACAGCAGAGCACCCAAGGCACACAGCGCTCGAAACTTCCGCTTTCTTTCCCATGGTATCCAGTCCAATATCCCAGACATTTTCCATGCACTACCCCTGTGAGAGAGAACGAGAAAGAGGTTATCAGCTGAAAATGTCGTTGGTGAGACATTATATTGCACATTAAGGGGGAGAATATAGTATTGAGGCAACAACACATACACATTGATATAGTTGACAAAACAACAAAAGACTAAATTCAGAGCAAAATCCATTTAAGTCAAGAATGCTATGCATTACTTACTTCAAAGGCAATTAAAGTGAGCACTTTTCAGGGGAGCTCATTTGGAGCACTCTACATGAAGACACACCAATTCAAATGTTGGGGGTCAGCAAGTTTTTTAAGGAAATTAGTATTTTTATTCAGCAAGGACACATTAAAATGTTCAAATTGACAGTAAACATTTAAAATGTTACAAAAATGTATATTTCAAATAAATGTTATTCTTTTAAACTTTTTATTAAAAAAATTATGAAACATTTTTTATATATATATCATGGTTTCCACAAAAATATTAAGTAGCACAACTGTTTCCAACATAAAAAGAAATGTTTCTTGAGCAGCAAATCATCATAATTATAATGATTTCTGAAGGATCATGTGACATTGAAGACTGGATTAATGATGCTAAAATTTCAGCTTTGCCATCACAGGAATAAACGGCATTAAATATATCATAATTGAAATATTTATTTCAAATTCTAACAATATTTTGCAATGTTACTGTTTTCACTGTATTTTTGATAAAAGTAAATGCAAACAAAAATTTTACCAACCCGAAACTATTGAATGGTAGTGAACATGACTGATCACTACACTAATCACTTCTGAATGAAATGCAATGACTCTGAATAGCAAAGTTTACCTTTATACATCATACAAAATTAAGTTTACAGCTGTTAAAATTGTTGTGAAAAATATTGGTAAAAATGATTCCCTCTAGGTACTCTTTAAGTGAGATTTCAAATTGTGCACCGTCTCAACAAAAAATAAGAAAATGTAAAAAAAAAAGAAAAAAAAAAAGGAATCTCTTCCGGTGACCGGTGTGTTTTAAGATCCAATGTCAGGTCTTAAGGTTTAAATGAATGTCACTCAGGATTATATGATCATTAACCGCAAAGTTACTTTCTCAACGTGATGGTGGTCTGTACTCTTAAAGCAGGGCACTTCGCGAAGGGATTCTCTGCTCACTTTCATTTGGAATGACCCTATGAATAGCTTTCCCATTTTGCCTTCAAGGGCGCAAAAATGGCGTTCTGCTACTCCTGAATCAATCTTTCCTTACAAGCTCACAGAACTCATGCTGAAACACACATCCGCTTGAACCCACATACAGCAGGTCGAACTGTTGAGACGGGTGCCCGGATAAGAAGAGGGGGAAATCTGAGCCCCCTCACTCAGGTGTAACCGATACAGGCGGGTTCAAAAGAAAAAGACCTGCACACAAAGAACAATGGGGTGGGGGTGATATGATTTGTATTTTCTGGAAATATTGAGTAGTGTGATGTGTTCTCTACAAAGACGCAAACCGAGAAAGAAAGAGAGTGAGTGGAGAGGGAGAAAAAGAGTAATGGTTAGTGTATTAACAGTTAATGCAGGAAAGGGAGCATTTCTCTCCCTCGGCTCTCATTGCCAAGTTTCCCGAATTCTTTCCTGTCAGGTTAAACTAACAACTTCCCGTCAGGAGGAGGAGGGTGGTCCATTGCTCCCAGACTGCAAATCTCTCCCTCTCTCTCTCTCACATACACAAACACACACACAACTCTACTCCCATCAATTGTAAGTAATGATTAATGAAAGCTCACAGAAAGATTGAGAGCTCAAACATGGGAGGGAACCACACAACGCAACTCTAGAAAAAAAATCGAAAAAACTCTACAAAAATAAATGAAGTCTACGTCTTGGGATTCAGAGTTGTTTTCCTGGAGCTGGTACATAGCCGTTAGCTATTAGCCAAACTCTGCTGACGGAATAGAATGTGTGCCATTTACAGACTTTGGGGTTGGCCCTAAATAAATGTTTTTCCGTTTCCAACACCAGAAATAAACAAGTCTTGCTGTCTGAATAACGCTGCAGAGAGATGTTATTTAGTCTGACTGATCTGGAAATGTTGGACTAATCATTTTAATTACTGTACGTGTTAAAACGCTGATGGATTTTGCTGTCCGATACAACATTAGCCTGTTTGTTTTTCATCTCTGAAGTGGAAAGGGCATGACGCTGATTCCAGGCACACCGGGGAACTTCACTGCGTAGCTAAGATCATCCTGACCTAAGCAAACACTCAACTTGACAAGCAGGCCAACAACAACTAGTTTCTACAACATTAAGTGAGCACTTAGTCAAGTTCTCTATGTTAAGTTTAAGCTCTGTCATGATTCGTCAGCTTTAATCAGGTCAGTGATTGGCTCATATCACTGCTATTTTTAATATTACAGCTAAAATGAACGATTTACTACCATGTCTGATACTATCAAACTTACTAAGATTAGTAATACTACAACTCGTGACATTCCTATTAATACCACAACTACATCTACTTCTGTAGGGGCAGATGATTGTTTCAGTTGTGTTTTGACCACAGACAGTGACTGTGAGGGATGGAAGTACAGTCAGTTGCTAAAGATTCAGCCAATGAAACATTGAAAATGTCTTTCTACAAACTTCCAATGGACAAACACCCAGACAAAACATCAATAAATTATTTTTTTCTGATGGGCAGCTCAAGAACACAGTTCAGAATCAGATTTGTAATTGTTCTGCCAATTATTTCACTAGCACAAAATAAATGAATAAACAAATAATAAATGAATACATTTTAGCAACCTTTTTTAATTTTTTTCAGAGAGAACATAATATTTAATGAAAATATTTTTCTTTGCAAATAACTCACTCAAAGTGATGACCATGAACATTATTCTCACAATAAAAAAAAAACAAAAAACGAATTTAAGTTAGCCAGATATAGCATTGCCTTAACCACATATTTAAATCCAGTCAAGTTCTGTTGTGTACCTGCTGGGTATCAATCATTCAGCCAATGAAATCTTTCAACAAACTTCCAGTGAAACAAAAAAACCTTCTTTTTTTTCTAGACTGGTAGAGAAAGTAGTTCAGATTTATAATTGCCCAATGCCCAGCCAATATTTTTGTTAGCTAAATAAATATATATATAACAAAATGTATATACATATAGACATACATTGACAAACACACACACACACACACACACACACACACACACACCACAGAACTGACTCGATTAGGCAAGACAGCTCTGTTATCCAACTTGAAACTCTTGGCCATCCTTATTGATGAGCTCTACTGAATTGTGGAAATTAGACTAGATGTTTGCACAAAAAAAAAAAAAAAAATAGAACTCCTCAGACTATCAGGCTCTTTGCAGCCAACAAAGCTGTGCTGTCAACAGGAACAGGACAGCTGCCCTATAGGTTTGGAAAAGGCGGCAATAGTCTCTCCTTGTCTGTCAAGCCACCTGTCTCAGGCGTCAGAAGTTATCCCCTTGAACACACTTGCTTTATTCACACACACATGCGCAATCCAGCTCATGTCATCGTCTTTGAGACAAACACTTCACATTCATATCAAGTCGCAACTGTAATGGAAAATAATTTATAGCACCACCATTTTTTTCCCCCCATTCTTCACCAAAGGGCACAGGGTCAGGGGGAGTCAAATGATACTGTAAGTGAAAAATGTGATGCGGTATAAGTACATGACCTCTTTAGAGAACCAAGATCGCATTGATCTGAGCATCTGGATAAGGGCTGTACAAAGGCATGTGCATTTAGACTGTTTATAGGAGAAAGAAAGAGAGACAAAAAGCATAATACTGAAGTGACTTCATAATGCCTCTTTGTCACTAAATGGAGTCCTTTCTTCTAGGGCCACTCTGGTCACTATTGTCCTCCAGCCTGTGTGAAATTCATTTTGACAACCCTACTAATTGGATAAAACTGCTCTCTGCCGGCTGTGGGCCTCCCTCATACCGTTCACATTCCATCTGCTTCCACACAGAGGGAGGAGAAGAGTAACGAGGAGGTGAGGGGAGGAGGTGGGGTCTAGCTCCTTCTGAATATTTATCGCCCCGCTCCCTTCACCCTATTTATGTCCTTCAGACCCCCCCCGACCCATCCTCGATTCTCCAAACATCACAATACCCCCCCTTTAGATAAACACATGCGGTGTCAAGTGTGAGGAGTGCTGGGTTCAACTGCCCGCGCGGGCCCAAGGCCCACAATGCCACAGCACATATCTACCATGCGGGAGGCCCGTTGCTCTGGGCGACGGTAACAGGCAGAACGCACCTTAATAGAGTGGAGAGTCATTGTAAAGCAGTGAGCCGGCGCACGGACAATAACCCCACGGCCCCCTGTGAAAGGAGAGACGTTTCTCAGAAGGGCCAGAGGAAGAGCTGATGGGGGCTGCTCAATGGACAAGTAAGGGCTGCAGTTTTGGGCTGGAGGAGGGGGTGGCCAACAGTGGTTAGTGGATATGGGGGTGGGTGTGTGTGTTGGGGGGGGATCCACAATCCCTAAGCTTTAGGGATCCAAATTAGAGAGTGGATGTCAACTGGTGATTGACCGAAGAGGGGAGAAATCGAGATGGTGGGTAGTTGAAGTTTGCTGGCCATTTGGCTGAAGTAGCCAAAATGGAGAAAGTACAGTTCAGAAGGAGAGCACACTGAAATTATGGCTTCCCAACAGATTAACAACAACACACTTAGCACTAGGACTAAGAGATACAGGTAAAAATGAATCGTTCACTATTTTACACCCTTTTATATTCTATATACAGAACATCTCAAGAAAGATTTATGCTCTGCTTTGGCAGAAAATAGATATTTTTCCAATCAGAGGAACCACCATTTTGACCAAACTTCCACTGATGTACAAGAGTTCAAAGGTTTGGGGTCGGTACGATTTTGTGATGTTTTGAACGTTTTTTCTGCTCATCAAGGCTGCATTAACTTGATTAAAAAAAATACGATAAAACAGTAATGTTGTGAAATATTATTGGATTTTAAAATAACTGA